AACATCGAATTTTCGACAAAAAACTCTTATCACAGGGCCTGGTAATGAAAAAGGGGGACAATCCTCTAACACGTGGTGTAGAGGATCCATGGTTTGTGTGTCCATCATACCGAAAAATCGATTGACGGCAAAGCGTCTGTTCGTCTGTGAACAACGCTAGCGGCTAAACGGTTCAGTCAGTTTTCTCCAATATTGATAATACCAATCAATCTGATTAATCGCATCATAGGCTTTCACGGCCGGAGTCAATAGAAGATAAATTTTCTGGGCTGGTAGGTCGTGGTCCAGTTGGCATTGAAGGGTCAAACGTTTCGTCCACGTCTGCAAAGGACATCCTCAGTGGCGGCAGGGTCGCGGGCACAGTGTGCGGGACGGCTGCTGGCCAATTTTCAAAAAAATGGCTCGGACGTTTTTACTAAACTTTGTTATTGGATAGTGTGGAGGACGTTTAAGATAATGGTGCAAGTCTCATGTTTGTTAAAAACCTTGATTTTTCGAAAATTGTAAAAGTTTTAATTTTTTTAGCGTCTTACTGCAACTAAAAAATTAAAGATATTTGCTTCAGAGAAACTCTGTTGTACAAATTTAGCTCTTTAAAAAAATGCCATGTACATTTCAATACAAAGCTCCTAGTTTTAGCATAATTTGTTCTTCAAATTTATAAACTTTATATTCTCAAAAATCGCTAAAATGTTTTCTTGACATTTTCTCTACATATGTAATAAGAGACAGTAAAAAATATGCTAATCCCATTTCCGGGTATTGCACGTTTTTTTGAAAATTGCAAAAAAAATTCAAACTAATTAATGTAATTTTAATATGGAAATTTATTTGCATTGATAACCTTATTACAGATATGAATTTTTAGTATTAAGTAAATAGTAATCCACACTCCAAACTCTACTTCTGCCTCAACTAGCAAAAGGATAGCACAACAAAACATGTTTATAGTGAAGCCACATTTATGTCGACGCAAAACATGGGGCTAGCCTTTGCTCACTGGATCAGGGAAACTACAAAAATCTGAACGTTCATTGACCTAGAAGCTAAAGGGCATAACTTATTTCAGGCATATTAAGTATTTTTAATTAAAAATGTAAACTAACGCATTAATGTTAAAATTAAAATTATTTTCTTTTTGGTGGTCCGTATAATTGTATAGAAAAAGTTATGCAACAGAAAAGATTTTCCTTTGAACTTTAATATGTGTATCAATTTCAACTGTTTAATATTGTCGTAGATGACACGCCACCATGAGGCCACTGGAAGGGCCAGAGCCTCCACCTCAATTAGCGTGCTCCGGCAGCCACTAGCAGGTTCTGTTGAAATCTCGAAATCGAATTTCCATAGCATTACATAACTTTCTCTATACTACCACAAACTCATGTATACTTAGTACATACATATGTACACAAGAAAGTAAAAAATATTATATCCTTAATAAGGTACTTATAAAATATTAAACCTATGCAATTTTCGAAGTTTCAGAACAAAATTCAAACTTTTTTTTTTCAAATTTTGCAATCAGGAGAAAATACTGAAAATGTACTAATGGTTTCACACAAGGAATTCCCAAAAATACAAGATTCCTATCAAATTTGAAGGGCCGCAACATCAGCAAGACCGATGACCGATGAATATCATTTTTGAGAAAATCATGGGAAGGATGATTAGCTTTTAATATTGTTCAGACGAACAGTTTTGAAAACATTTTTCAATTATCAGAGGTCACCCAATCTGTGAATTTTAACTCGACCTCACATGAAAGAAAGTATATTGTATTTATTTTTTAAAAGATATTTTCAATACATGTGTGCAGGTGAAATTGTGTGGGTGCACTTCCCTCACATGGATATTTGGGTAGAAAATTCAGGGCACATTGCGACATGTAACCTTTGACCATTCTCTTGTGAGTGAACCCATAATGTCAGTATTGGAAACATCAACAGGCACAGTCTAAGAAGGCTTTAACTTTACTCTGGGGAAGAAAATTTTAGAAATGTTTTCTTCTAATGGCCGATAACCTGGAGGCATTTATGGTTTCCATTTAACTAATAATAATTTTACAGGTTTTACTACTAAGTAATTAATTATTACTTACTAATAAAATTACAATTCATTGCAAATTTCTTCTGGAATACAAATTTGTTCCACTATTATAAATGTCATGAATCTGATCCAAATTATTAGCATATACTATGTTCTAGATTGTAAACTTTGGGTTCAGGTTCCTACGAGATTTTCAACATTTGATAAGTAAACACCTTTTTCATATCAAACATTTTTTAAAAAAAATAGCATCTTCTTTTATTAAATACTCCCAAATAATGTGTGTTTACTACACAACTCAAATTCAAACTATTTTACCTTAATCATATATGTACGTGTGAAGTAATATATGTAATACATATAAAGTTAAGTAATGATCCAGAAAATCAAATTTTAGATTTTAAAGGAAATGCACATTTTGTGGTCCCCTGATACCAAAAACATTTTTGTGTTCTCTTTCTTTTTCCTTTGGCACTCAAAATGTTCGTCCTTCTATCATCTGTAAAGAACACTAGTGCCCAAACAATACAAAGGATTTTTTTCCAAACTGAAAAACCCTTCGATTTGGCCCCACTCAATGCTCTGCCATTTTTAATCACATGTATTCATTGTTGGGGGTACTTTATATGAAGCTCCTGCAATGATTTTGTAATTTTCTCAAAAAGGCACCAAATTGTTTCTTTCAATATTTTGTATGAATAGATCAAAATACAGTAACACACAGGTTTTGCTGCTATGAGTCTTTAGACTTCTTTCATAATTGGCTTTGGTGGTTTGCCACATGACAACACACTGTTTTTGGCTGATTAATATTTCAGATTTAGTGTTGGTGCACTGGCTAGAAAAAAACAACAACCCAAGTCTTGGGATATATTTCATCATGGTTGAAAATACTACCATCTGCATTTCCTACCAACAACTTTTCAAAACAAAACACTTTGAGCACTCAATTAGGTCATAAGTGTCAAGAATAAGCAGCATATTTAAATATTTCTGGTTGTTTTATATGTACGTTTGCTGTAAGAATTCTGTGCTAACAAATATTTGAGTGGGTTTGCTCCTACAATAATGAGTATTTAAAAAACACTTGATATATCTTTGAAAATGAAATTGCGAAAACTTTTTGCAAAGGATGTCTGCAATATTTTAATGAGCTGCTTTAATTAATACTTTCCTGGCAAACTAAGTAGTTGTAAGAGAATTGCTTACTGATCACCTGATGCAAATCTATTTTGTGTGTGTAGATATTTACAGCACATATGAAAATATCATACAACTACTGAAATTAATATTATTTGTAGAATACATATATTACTAAAATGTGTCTATGTTGACCTGTACAGACATGAATTTTTGGAACCTCTTAAGAATCACAATTAAGCACAGTGGATTCATAACATGTTGTACCAGAGTTTTTCTCTAAAAACCAACTACATTTGTCAAGATTACTTTCTGAAATTCAAGAACTTCGCTCAACTAGGTTTTGCTGGTGGGAGCGATGGAAGCACAATCATGGTCAACAATAATAAAGAGATTACTTTGTCTCAATTTTGGATGTGAAGTTCTCTCGCCATAGAACAAAAATTTTAATTTGTCTCCTCCATCTTCACGTTTAATATCAATGTACTTTGTGTTCCATTACTAAAAGTTGTTTCGAGAGATGGCATTTTAAGAGAATCAAATTGCAGTAAGTTCTTTCATTTTTAAATCCAAGGAATCTCAAATACAACTCTCACATTAGAAAATCTTAATTTGACATTTCTTATTCCTGGACAAAAGAACTCTTTCCCTACCATGGACATATTTTAAATATTATTTTCAAATATACATGCATAATTAAAAAATTGATAAACCATTAAATTTTTACACAACCCACATCTCTCAAAATATGGTGTAATCATTACAAATTTAAAGTACAATTTTCTGTATCACAGAAAGAAGTAGCATCAATATTTGTGCATCACCCATCACCTCTAGGTTTTCTAAGAACCTTTGAACATTTCCTCACCGATGAATACATTACAGTGTAATCAATTTGTAAATCATGGACAAGGAAAGTGAAAAAGGAACTTTAAGGAAAACCAACAAAAAGTGTTCAATCATTATCAATGTTTATGCATTTCACAAGATCATATGGCACATCATTAAACGATCTTGTTACCATTTCCCAACATTTCATGCCATAAAATACAAATAGCTATTTAAAACAATACCCTAGTATTTGCATGTCATTTCTATTCACAAATTTTCCAAAAGTTTTCCTTTGGTGTTCTAAAAACTATTGTGAAGTATATAAAAATGGCCAACTGTCTCCATCAAAGATTTAATACTAGCAAACTCTTTTCAGCAACAATATGCATACAACTCTCAAAGAAAAATACATCTTTAATGAAAAAACCATATAAATAAATAATTTTCTTCCTGAGAACTTCATTATAATGCTTTAATTCAAAAACAATTTATTAAAGTTAAATAAAAACAAGTTTTAAAAAACGTTGGGTACAATCAGTATACCAATATCCTTTTTATTATAATATCATAATTTTCCATACAATGCATCTTTTATCACAACTCCTATTGTTAAGAAGCTTTTTCATTGTATCAATGTTAAGTTTACTGCATTTCACTTCTTTTATATTCAACACATTTCAGACATCCGATGCATTCCCAATACAGGTCCCAGAATTTGAGAATTTAAAACTATACAACATTTATTGCGAAAACTTAACTTTTAAAACTATAAGAACATTGTTCAAAGTGTAAAGTACATACAGTAAATCCCATACACCATAAACCCATCAGAAACTTGCTTAGATAGCTAGAAATAAATTCAAGTTCTAAGAATTGCACACGTGAAAAAATCTTTGTAGAAAAATTTTTTAAACACATCAACAACAGGTTTTATAACAAAATACATATGGTAAAGTTAACCTTGGCAATTTCTTTCATAGTTAATAATTATTTATTAGGACAGCAAGATCTTGTACACAATACAAATTTTTTTTAATTGTAAAATATGACTGAAATGAGTAAACTGCAGAATTATTAACATAATGTATCAATAAATATATGAATCTATGATTGCGTCCCACTCTTCAGGGATGTATCAAAAACTTCTTAAAATTCAATTGCATACAAGACAGCCCTCTTTTTAAACAATAGATAAATAACCTTCCAATGACTCCTTTTCTCCAATTAAAATTCTGACATTTTAAAATTAGTATGTCTATGTGATTTCAATGTTATAACCACAGCATCTCCATTTTGCAAAATATTCTACATTTGTTGGACTCTTAAATTTTGGTGACACATTATCAATGCACAGGAACCGTAAGACATCTACAAATTTGACATTTTGTAGGGGTATTGTTTTACCTGAAGTTCATTTTTTTTATATTTATTTTACGGTCAAGGACAAAGTGTTTTCTTCTATATTCAAGTTATCTTGTGAAATATCTTTACAAATTTTTAGTGGTAAAAAAAAACTTTTTAAACATTTCTTCACTTAACTAAAAAATTGATGATTTTTGAGATGCATCACACTACTTCTGCACCGAAGATACATTTTAACATTTTGGATGCTTGTTATAATATGGGTTCAGCATTTTCCAAAAGAATACCATTCCCATAATATTACAGAAGCATTGTTTTCTCAAGGAATGAACATGCCATGCACGTTATATTACATTTGACTTTTCCCATATTTGCAAGCTTCCATTGGGAAGCCAATTGTCCCAGCAGCTTCCAAATAGAAAAACTAATAAAATTAATTTCCCTTGCTATCTCTTGAGTTCATAGTAGTTACATTTCAGTAATCCCTGCAGTGAAATAAACAAGAGACATTTTGATGGTGTAAATTAAGAGTTTGTTGTCTACATTGTTAAGTGGCAAAAGAAATGGAGAAAGAAATAATTGTCATTTATTGATGTTGATTTACAATGGTTTTGTTGCTCCACTTCATGTATTATATTTCTTTCTTGTTAATTTTTAGTTACACAATCTCATTTGCTTCAAAAAGTATTTTAATATATATATAAGTTCAATTTTTTTATGGCAAAACATTACCACCTTGTTTTTAATGGCATAATACAACTAATACTACTGGTATCTCTTGGTTTTAAAGAAACTTCGAATTTGTTTGCTGCATAATAAACACTTTCAACATACTCAAGTAGATATAACCTTGAGTAGATAGCATCTCAAGATGTAACAAAAATTGCTAGTACTGGGGAAGAAGATGCGTAAAAGTGACTGACACAATAAGGAAAGGCGAATAAAAACATTTGCCAGCATTCAAGAATGTTCAGAAGCATTGGTGTTCCTCAAAATGTCATTTCATCTTACACAATGAAGGAACACCTAAAAATCTGTTTTTTTTTTTAACATAATAGTTTGACCCAAATGCACAAGTAAGTTGGAGAACAGAGAAAGCTCTCTCCTCCAACTTGCACAAACTTTATTAGAACAAAAAATAATGTCAATAAATCTGTCTATGATTACTTATTTTCTCCAAAAGAAGAAAAAGCTACAAATATTGAATTGTCTAGAATCAGGCATTATAATGAAGTTTCACACACAGAACATTTTCTTAAATAGTATGCTATAATAACTTAATAAAGGAAAGTTTGCAGAATTCAGAATTGATAGACGCATATATTAGGGATATCAACAATGAAGTAAATAAAATGTCTGAATCCTGCTCAACATAAGTTTTATTGTCATATATTAAAATACTGAACAAATTAACAATGAATGACAGCATAAATTTTGTTTGCATTGCTATTAAACAATACAAAAAAGACAAATGAAGTCGACTCTAGGTATAGTGAATTTGGTTACAGTGAACATTCAGTTATCGTAAACCAATGTGACTGGTCTCAATCTACATACATTACACACTACACAATTTAGTTATAGTGAACTCCCCACATTTACCATTGATAGGAAATACAACTTTCCTGGGGAAAAAATGCTTTATTTAAGGATCACAAATTACAATAAAACAGTTTGCAAATTGAGTGTTTCCTCAATTATATTAGTAGCACTTACGGTAAATGAAAAAGACTGAAGGAATAAAACCCTGAGGTAATTTTTCCAGCTTGTCTATGGGAATTCTGTCAATCCTTAAGACTTAACCAACAAAGATTGCAAGATGAAAACTAGCGATATCCCATATGCTTGGATTTTGAAAATTCTGTGAAGGGTCTTCGAGAACACAAGAAAACTTAGTGTGTTGACAAAAAGGATACAAACAAAGTGTTCCCATAATGCAAATATCATTCAAGGTATCATGATTGATCTAGATTTTGAGTGTGTGGATTCTACAAACAAGTACAGGGAAAGTACGGACTCTGAAGAAGGATCTGCAAAATTAATAATAAAAAACAGAATACAGCAAACGGTAATAAACACTATTATTTTAAGGCAAAATAAATTAAGTGAAATTCTGTATTTACTCCGTTTGGAAATTTAACAGATCCTCTGAAATATCAGAAACAATCATCTAGGAAAAACTAGTTTATTTTCACACAATCAAATACAGAAAAACTCTCATATAGTTATCCAAAACTGATAGTCCCCAGGGATTCATTATAACCTGAGTCGACTGTATAAGTAAAAACACAAAAAATTATCTTCATAAAAATTCTGTATGTTCAATTATCATAATCCTGAGCAAATATATTTTTTTGTCAAAACGTCATTTACACAGCATCATAGCTTATAAAGCCACACACTAAGAAACAGTAGTAGCAATGTAGACACCCATTATACATTAGAAATGAAACTGAAGTAAACAATCAAAAGTGAATATTCACTTTAAGAAGCCAACATCAATAGTCTTACAACCTACAGAAAGACAAATAAGTAAATTCTTGGTTTGTAGTATGTACAGCTACACTGATAAAATGAGGTACAATGATTTTTCTCTCTTTTGAATGTTAAGATTTGTTAACAAATTCACAAAATATACATTTAAAAAAAAAAACTTTTTTCTGAGGCCACTAAGTCAAATTTGAGATCAACTAGCCTCCACTACAAATGTCAGTGGACAGAACAGTTCAAATTCTCTTTATGAATCAAGACAGTTTTACAGACACCACCAAGGCAGGCCATAAATCTGAGCTGCACAGCATGCCATTGTTATAAAAAGCACAATCGACCATAATCCTCAGTACACACACACACACACACACACACACACAAAAGGTAATCTGTAAAAGGACCTATGATCACGCATTCTCTCTTTAACGTTTTTCACATTCATCCTCTGTAACCAGATACAAAAATACACTTAAAAATAATATTTTCTAGATCCAAAATTGGTACCTATTATTACACTATTATATTCATACTGCATTGGGGTCTAAAAATAGTGAAGATACCGCAAAGAAGAGGAACACCACACCGCCAATAATTGTCACTGCAACAGAAACAAATAAATAAATACTAGAACTATTATAAAAAAATGAGAAGGATTTAAATTATTGAATTGAATTGAATTTGCCTTATTTTACGTGGCGAGACTCTGGTCATCAGGCCCGCTCTTCCGTCTGACCACACAAATTTCGCTACGCTCCTTTCACCAACTAGGAGAAAAAGGAGGTATTTCTTGGGCGAGAAACAGGCAAATTTGAATTTAAATTATAATCGTGAACATTTACAAATATAAAAAAGTCGAAACAAAAAGGCATATTTCTTACAAATTTAGAAGATTTTAACATACAAGTTCTGATTTTTTATGAATAGAATATCAAAAATTATTCTGTTTCATAACGAAGCCTGATAGCCAATATATTTTAGTAGATAATGGAGAGAAAGTTGACAAAGGTGGTGAATACATTATGAAATGTCAGAACAATACAGCATAATTATATAAAGGCTGATCAACAAGCCTCTCACTAAAACAGTATATAAAGGTACAGAGCTACATCAAGAATGTAGTAGTACTGTAAGGAATGTAATTCACACCTGACTAATAAAAAATGATTCAAAATAAGTGAAACAAAACAAATGGTCTTTTCAAAAACCCTTCAATTACTAGAACCTTATCATCGCTCATTACCAACTCATTCCTCCTCAAATCACACAAATTTAAGGAAAATTTCATCTTGACGTTTTCTAGATAGCAAAAATATGAAACAATTTTTCAATTTATTTTCTAACCCAACAATTTAAAAATTTGAAAAGAAAAAAGTTGCATACTATGAAGTATACTTCATGTCCGGTAAGTTTCACAATGTAACTCTGGAGGATTTTGAGAGATTAAATGCAATAGAAATGTCTACTTATTATTTTGCTGCAGCATCTGTTTGAGGGCTACCCCCAAATCCCTGCCAATCAACTACAGATGATCGCCATTCTTATACTTTCACGAGCAATAAACAGAAATATTTCCCCTTATCTTAAATGTGCCAGATATAAATTAAAAACTTCACTGCTGATTAAATTCAAATTAAAAGTATCAAACGGATACAATTTAGAACTGAACCGATGGAATATTCACATGAATAAGAGAATGTGATATAGTTAACAAAATTATTTCTTTTACTTCACTGAACAGAGAATATAGTTTATTAACTGGGCACTCAAATTGCATATCTCCTAATATTTTTTAAAGTCCTCATTTCAGAGAAAAAAAAAAATTACTTCAAGATGTACAGTTATATCAGTAAATGAAAAAAGTAAATGTGAATTTTGTAGTTAACAATATCTCAAAACTTCAATCTTTAGTCTCAACTCTTAAACTTCAAAAAACAATATCACTACAAACTAAGGTCATCTTTAAAAATATATTTACAGGTCCTGAATGCAAGTTTAAATTCAATTGGAAAAAAGATGATGTGATTAGATCAATAAATATAAATAATCCAAGTTGAGCATTATTCTAATTTTTAAAATATTTTCTTGAAGTAAAACTCCAAGATAAAAAAATCATAGTGCTTAGGATTGTAATTAATAACCTTGGTAATTATAAAAACTTAATAGAATTTAAATTCAACAGACTGTCAAATCTACAATAAACTTTTCTCATTTATATGTCAACTAAACTCAGTCCCAAAAATGTGAATACGCAACAAGGTAAAAAGAGGTAAAATTGATGTCTGAAGCTGAAAGATCAAACAGGTTTGTTCCACACAAATTCGTTTAGAAGGCAACTTAACCTTGATATTTTCCTATAACACAACTGCTCTGTTCCTCACCTCTCCTCTTCAAAATAAAATAAATTCAATTCAATGTAATTCAATCTAAACTTAAACCTTCTAATATAAATCACCAAATATATACTTAAACAATACAAAATTAAAACAACTTATAAACTAATGTACTTATAGCAACAAAGAAAAGTAAAACCGGACAAAAACAATACAAATGTGGTAATATTTCAGCCCTACTTTTGGGATAGAAAATATTACATTATTTTGACTTACCGGTTCTCACAGAGATACGCTGAGCTATAAGTCGACCTCCCAATACAGCCAGGCCAGTGCACAAGGCATGACCAGCTATACCTCCTGCAGTAACTCCAACAACATCCTGACACAAACAAATCAATGTTACTAATCTTCATTTAAATTATCTAAGATTGTGGGCCTTAAAAAATTGATATATATGATGTTACATGCTGTTGTAAATCGAATTATCATCATCGTAACATCTTCATTAAGATGAGAATGTTATTGGAACAAAACAGATGAACTTTTAGATAAACATGATGCTACAACAAAAGCATAACAAAAAAAGTACAAAACTGAAGACAGAAATTGAAGACTGGGGGGGGGGAAGTGTAAAAGAAATCTAAAATTTATACATTTTACAGTTAAAAACTGTTATTGCTAGTAATTTTACACTTAATAAATAAAATCAAGACATAAGAAGGCAGAGCATATACATGAATTTCATTATACCTATTGTAAAACACTGGTACTCCATGTAATAACCAGAAGTACAATCCACTTTCTTTCTTAAACTAACACCATTTTCAACAAAACATAATTAATGTTTGCTTTTTTTCTTCTTCTTTTTTTTCTTTACACGGAAGCTTAAAAAAGTTAATTTTTTTTTACTTCAAACATACACTTCCATACCCTTTCTCAACGTAAAAACACATTACAAAATCCATTATGGAATATAATTAGTGGAAAAAAACGGTGACCAAGAATATTACATTAGATAAACCAAATACTTCAAAAAAATACATTTCATAAGTAAAAATGATTATGCTAGCTCTCTATGCCTGAAACCTTTGTTGTACCCCAGTTTCTGGGTCAATACTCCTATCTTCATCAGATTTTTTTCATCCAGTTTCCCTGATTCTTTGAACAAATACTGATATGGTCTCCTTGTTTGGGTTCTGGACATAAATTAGCTTTAAAATAACTGCACATTTGCTACAGCTCAGAGGAGAATTATAGGTATTCAAATAATCTCTCACCATGTTCTCACACCAGTAACTTGTATCTTATTGATCTTTAAAAATAGCTTTTAATTCTTGGAAGAGAATATTTTCTGATCAATTCTTGTCAAAAAAGCTCATTTCCTCCTGTATTCATAATTCATCTTGCAAGCGAGTTAGAGGAGGGATCCTAAATCCCAAGAAAATGTACAGAATACACTTTTCCTCTTAGATTTACACCCAGTGAGGGAAAATAAATAAATAATTAACAAACAAACAAATAAGTAAATAACGCTATTAAGTGAAACAAACTTTATTGAGTATACCTCGCGTGCAGCAAGAATAATAGTGGTAAGTTGTGATCGATCGCCCCATTCAGCCAAGAATGTTAACGTAAAAGCTTGAATAAAAATTCGTGAAATGAAAGACAATACACTTGTCTTCGCCTTGGCATTTCTCCTCGCTCCACTTTCAACATCAGTTGTAGATGTTCTTGTCTCATTTTCATACTGTAAACATCAGAGTAACAAAAAAAATTAATGAAACTGCTTACTAACCAAACCCATAAGAATTAAAGCCTTATTCAGAGCATTAATATATCTGGCCAATATTTGCTCATTAAATATTGTCATTTTCACTATCTGAATTATCTTAGTAATGGCAGCAACCTTACAGTATTATGGCTACTTTTCAACACGTTTGTTTAGTAAAGTTATTAAAAGTGGAGATGATAATCTGAATAAAAGATTGAAATTACTTCTTTAAAATACAGTTCAAGCATCTGGCAAGGCAGAAAACGGTGCTCATTGGCCAGAAACTCACCATGTACTTCTTTTAATTATGATCTCAATAATTTACAAGTTTTCTCAAAAAAACCCTCAAACATATAATGAGCAGATCAAAACACAAAACATAAGGGCAATAGAGGCTGTATGTACTAATTTAAATCTATAACTGTTTACAATAACTAAGCTGCGGATTTTTGCCTATTTTCTCTTTCTTTACCTTCAACGGAAAACAACATTTAAGGTTACCGATTCATTTTGAGGCATTAGCCGTATTATATGCGAATTTTATAGTCTCTATTAATGCATATTTCACTAGTACAAGCTCATTTAGTGTTTAAATGCCAAAGTGTTGCGTATTTTAGTATTTATGGATTAAAATGCAATTAACCTTTATCAATTTTTTTTAAACGAACTTTTTTTTCGTTTTTATCCTTCAAATTATAGGGAAATTGAACCACTATTCATAAATCTATGTTGTGTTACGGCCTTCACAGTTTGTATTAAGAAATACGTCCAAACCTCTGGTAGTCAAGTTATTTTGGAATTGGACATTTAAAAAATAAATTCTCAAAAATGGCTTCAAATTGCTTCATTTTCTTCTCGTAAGTATGAAAATACGGGACAAAAATGAACAATCTGACCCGCACTTTATGATGGCATCTTTTTCCGTAACAGTTCAAAACGCAGATTCGGTCTCGCCGGACGTCATTTTAGATTCCGCGCGGCTTCGTCGAACGCGCATCGGCACAAAACTCGGCATTTCTTTGATGCAATGGCGTCTGTTTGAGATTCACTTTTTACCCGCCCCTTAAAAAAATATCGGTCTAAATTACCCGGCAAATTCGCGGTGGATGCCAATTGAATACGAAGGCGAATATTACGCGCGGTATTATTTTTACCGTTTTCGCAGTTAATTGTTACGTCATTTACGACTTTTGTGACGGAACGGCAATGCACAAAAAATCCGAACTGACTAGGCTTCATCTGTGAATATAAGATGAAGCATCTATCGACCGAGATATTTAGGAAAAAACTTCGTTCTATATTCGGATAAACGCGGTATGTAGTGCCTTTTTAACTGCCTAGTTTACACTTTTAAATATCTATTTTACATTTTTAAATGCCTACTTTCTCGCCTGCATATTTCGACAGTTTTTCATGCCTATAAATCCGCAGCTTAATAATAGCTGTAAACCATATTTAAGATGGAGTTTAGAGAATTCCAAGATTCATTCTTAAATCACTGCATTCAAATAATTATTTAGTAAAACATATGAACATTTACCTCATCTTCCCGCTTCCGAAGTTCTGTTTGAACTTCTTCTAGTTCTTCTTGACCTTCATTTGGAGACATGTAATACCCATCTTTTAACATCTTCAAACCAAAAATTGCAAAGAGAGCCGTGGAAATGTAGTAGGTGTAAGCTCGAGGAATTACAGTAGCCACCCAACCAAATACAGCTAGAAAACAAACGATAGGAGTTTATAAGAAGATAAGGAGTTTGTAAAAAAAAAATCAGTAACTCATTCATATAACATTAATTACTTTTAAAAATTAATGGAATATTTAGAACTTTTAGAAGAAAGTGAATTTTCTTGTTATATTAATTGCAAAGCGCAGTTCAAAACGGTAGAAATACATTCAAACACACTCACACCACATTTGTTCTGCAGGAATAAACATTAGCGTGGCATGCAATAAATTATTGATAGAAAAAAGATATTTTATTATTTTACAGAAACTTCAAATTTTATAATTTGAGATCAATGAATGAGGCAAATCAGGGAACTTTGCAAGCGTTATTTTAACAAAATGAGAGAGTCACTGAATTTCTACTAAATGAAGCGCAATGAAGTCTTTGTAGTAAGTGCCCTTCTAGCCATATTAATCAGTTATTTGCGTGATTTGCAATGCTTTGCATGTTTTGGGAACTTAAAGGCAAGATCCTGAATAACTTCAAAATCTCCACTTCAGAAAATTGGACATGTGTTACACTTTCTTGCAATAGAACAGAGGGAGTGGAGTGAAGATTTTCAACTTTTTACTATAAGCTCACTAGCTAGCAATGTTGTCCACACAGTGAAACGTTCAAAGGTAAATAATATTTAAAATGTTCAAATAATCGACAGCCCTGGTCGGGAAATTAACCTGCATCTACCCGTATACACCCAGATGCTCTACCATTTGAGCAACCGACTATCAACTCTTCGAACAAAGTTTTGGGGCATGCTCTTAAAACTTCCAGAATATTCACCTTGTCGTTATGGTTAGCTTGTACAAATACTAAAGGAATGTTTCTTGCATCGCAATTGCCAGCCGGAAGAGTGTGACATTTTTGAGAGTACTAAAAACAAGTTGGCTTCTGTCCTTCGGGAGATTATTAATCACAATCAAGAAACGAAGTTACTCGACATAAAAATAGAGGAACCGTGGCGAATTTATGACCCTTCCCTGATCGTACACTGCAGACCTACAGGAATGCAAGTTCAGTAATCCGATAACAGAAGTCACAGATAAACCATAGCCAGCACTCAGTTACGCGTTTCGCCATCCCGACAGCCGTAACGGACCGACATGAGGAAGAGGGTAGAACTGAGTGCCGATCTTAAAGGACAATATTAAAACTTGAAATAAAGGATTATCCATGAGAAAAATTCGAAAAAAGTGAATAAAACACTCAGGACCCTGTAGCCTTATGTAATAAAGTTTGACATTTCCATAAATATGTTAAATGCCCGATAAACATGAAGAGAACGCGTAGATACATTTTAAACTCCAAACTGAAGACAAACGAATGGTCACATCAGTCTATTATCTATCAGTACGTTTGTCATCGTTTTGATGTTTGAGGAAGTCTTATTGCCGAAGGAAATATAACGTGGAAAAATTCTGCCTTTTCACTAGAAAAGGGGAACACTCGTAGTATAGTTGTTATCGTGTTTTCAATAATTTAAATTTATTTGTTGTAATAAAATAATAATTTGTTAATGTTTAATTTTTTCTTCAAAATATTACAGCTATGTTTTGATCACTGTTTTTTTTTTACTATATGTAACTTGATGTACGAAACAAATGATGCTAATTCATGTGTTCTAAAGAAACGAATACCGTTTGTACTGCCTCTATCGGGCAGACTATTTCTCGCCCCCAGAGATGACCCTGATTCCCAGATACTAATACGTCCTATACCTTTCCCCTCATTTCCCACGCGGATAGGCGGTGAACGCATGCGCGGAAAGAGTAGGGCCTCCCTTTCCAGTACCTTCGACGGCGACGTGAGGAAGCTCTGGTCCTTTGAGAGGATCCTATGCGTTCACCTTTCACGAGTTTTGTCAATTGTGAATTATTTTACTTTCTTACGCACTAGAAAGTTTACCGCTTACGCACTAGAAAGTTATGTAATGTTGCGCGAAAATCGTCGAATAATCGACAGCAAATCCCTTATTACAGCGCACTGAGAACGAAAAAGTAGAGAAATCCAGTTGCTAAATTTAAAAAAACTAACACGTGGTGCAGCCAGAATCCATATTTTGGGGGTCCTTCATAACGAGAAATCGAATGATGGCAAAACGTGTCCGTCCGTCAACAACGCTAGCAGCTAAAACTTATTCTTCAATCGATCTGGTTGATGTCACGACCCCTTGAATTTGAAACCGATATTTTAATTTTGGAGGGTACTTTACAGCACCTGAGACATTTTCCAAATTAAAAAAAAAAATGCTACATCGTTTTGAATTAACTTGAAATGATACAAGTTTCATGTTCAATAAAAACAACAATTTTTGGAAAATTGCAAAAATTCAAAATGTGTTCGCCGCCTTCCTACAACTACAATTACAAAGGTAGAGATTTTTCCCTTAATGGAATTTGTTCATTATAGATAGATTCTTAAATAAGGTCATGTACAATTTTTCGAAAAGTTGGGTACTTTTCGTGTAATTTTGTGTAAAAGTACGGGTGAGAAAGTATGTTCTGTTTTAACACCGCTAGTTTGTGTTTAGTTAAATCTAATTACAAATTAATAAGCGCGACAACCGTCAAATTAAATTATCCCCCACGCGAACGTTGATTTTAGAGGTTACTAAATCATTCATTAAAGCAGTGTTAAAAAAACTGCGCTAGTGAAGCATTATTAACCCCATTTTTTTTTAAATTTTGAACATCGATATTTTGGTATGTCACATCCCTGAAAAAAAAAATTTTCGAATCTACCCTTAAAAGGTGGCCAGTTTTGACTCTACCCCCCCATTACCCGAAACTCTAAAAATTAAAAAATCGGTCGAAATATAAAAAAGTCGGCATAAAAAATGCAAAAAACTACACCGAAAGCCGCAGCCAATTTTGTGTATTTTCTTTCTAAAACCGACCTTTTTTTAAAATTAAAAAATAGAGTGACTTTTTTTGTAAAATTCAAATATGTATAAATAAAAAATTGAATGGATAAGGGACCCAGAAAAATTGTTGCTCCCCCTCTTGGAGTGGCACACGTACATGCCTCTGAGCGGTATTAACACATTTCGGTAACCCGATCGAAGAGAAAATGAACCACAAAAACGGACAGAAAAGAGCTACATTACAGGGAAGAGAGTTCTGTAATTCAGAATGTAAGAAGAATCCCGAAATTGAGCGTGTCAAAACTTCCAATAACCGAAGCAGCAACTGAAAGTACAACGAGATTGATACAGGTGGTATACAAAAGTGAATTCCATGGAAGAATATCGCTAAAAAAGAACCATACAGCAAGAATCAGATTTGCAAATGAGTATTTTGCATTGGACCAACACGTGATATCTTAAGGAATTACGAGAAACTACACAAATACTGAAGTATCTTCAAAGAACTGCAAACACGGGATGAAAGTCCTGATCTCAATTCGATTGAGCACATACGGATTTAGTTAAAGAAACAGCATGAATACAATTTCACATCTAAAGACGACCACAACTTTCGAGAGGCAGAAGAATTGTCGATTTAGCTCCTGAAAAATTGTTGTAGAGAAGATGTCAATCTTTTATACGGGCCAAGAATTATGTATCTGGATAATGAACAGACAAATCTTGTAATGTTTTATTTTATTATTTTTTGTTTTTCTTAAACGTGTACAAAAATGAACATGATATCAAGTACTATGTTTTTATTAAAATGTTTTCCTGTACGTAACAAAAAGTTCGTGGATTCACGATTGATTGTAAAAACCTATTACAGGTAAAAATACGCCACAAGAAAGTAGTACTCCGCGTAGTCAACGTTGCGCTATTTCCCTCCTTTGCCCCTGCCCTATGTGAACGAACATGTGAGCCGCTGTAGAAGGTTCCAGCAACAAAAGCAATAGATTTCAAAATTTAATTGAGAGTGCAATACATGGCGGTAACCTAAACTAGTTTTTATTATTCCACTGTCGTCAAATCTGGATTTCTTATCAAGCTTATTTTCAGATAAATCGTGAAACCCTAATCAACGAACAAAACACATCATGGCGCGAAGTGGACAGATGAGTCATCGTGAGCGGCGGCGAGCCCTCAATTCGATGTCCTAATTTGGCGAATCCTTTACTCGTTTCTGAATGTTTCATGGCTATTTTTCAGCTTGTTTTACTATAATGCAATTAAAATATCTGCAGATTCCCCCCTAATGTCCAATTCTCTAAAATATTGTAAATGCATTATTTTTATAATTTTATTTGGTCATTGGCGCAGCTATCTATGACTGGGCGCCTCAGCACTGATTACACATGAAAAGGAATGCAACGAAAACCCGATAGTTCCAAAGGCTCTAATAATATTATAGATGTGTGTAAGAGGTCGTTGCTAACTCGCATTTAGGTGATTCTGAGGAGAAAGTGTAATGTTTCCACAATTAAATGCAAAGATGGGATTAATAAATGCCGTATAACTTTCCGGCGAAATGACAAGCTCAGATGTTATCTGATACTTTTTTCATTCTTACAACATTCATTAACATTCACAACATCCAAACTTGAGTAATCACCCTTCCCTAACACATACTCTCATGTCTCTCAATTACATTTTCTAGAAAGAATTTTAATTTCCTTGGGAATTGTGAGGGTAGAGCACACTGAGTAACTTCCTCAGAATATTACTTGTAAAGGAAACTATTTATTATCCAGTACATTTGTATTATCTACTATCCTTTGCTGGACACTTCATATGGTTCTTTCTAGTAAGATAAAGAATCTTGCTAATATTCACCTTGTGTGAGGCCATCTCCCATCAATATGTATCACCACAATTTCCTCAACCTACGCACCACTCCCAATGTATCTTCTAAATATTTAAAAGACGAAAGGTTTTCATTTAGAAAAAAATGGAACATTTTCCTCAACCATATTTATGGTTTTCGCTTGAAGTGAAAAGTACTAGTTTTGTTATATCTTGCTCTTATTAACCAGTTTTCAGTAAATTTAATATCTTCAAATAAATACAATGGACACTTATCTGCC